CACCTATGTAGACGATGTTAAAGAAGGTCGGGTCCTCATCGGTGCCCTGCACTTGCTTCACCGCCTTACATCCCTGAGAGTTCCAGTGCGTGCAGCGGTAGTAGGCCCTGCAATATTTGTTTAATTTGAGCGGATCAGATCAGGTCAGGCAGGCCCATCGAGTTTCGTCCGGAGCTCCCGAATCTTGTTTGTTAGGGGAAAAGAAGAAGAAGAGACTTTGCTTGTGCATCCAGAACATTTGGGCTATGAATCACTGATTCACTGTTCCCCCATCGGACGAACACTTGCAAACAGCACAAACAAACAGCGGCTGCAACTTTTTCACCAAGATAAGAGTGCAGCCCCTTCATCCAAAGCAGATAAGAAAGCACAAGGAAATGATTTCGAATCCACTTGCTAAGACCACGTGCAGATGAGATTGGGCCGTGGAGTCTGGAAAAGAAAAGAAAACCTTTTGATAGATAGGAATTGTGTAACTCAAGTGGCAACCTTCTGTGCTTGGCTCCAAGGATCTCCTTCTGGCCGTACTTTCTCCAGTTGTGGCCGTCGCCGGCCAGGAGGTCCGCCTTCCTCACCCTCAGCTCATGCCTCTTCTTGTTCCTGCAAATAAATTAATAGTATAAACCACTTGAGAAACTCAGCTAACAGAGACCAATTAATTAAGATGGTTTATGTTCCTTAATCGGGAAGCTCGATCGACGCCCTTCCTCGATGGGGGCCTGCTTGGTAACTTTGATGGTGGCAACTGGCAAGAACCAAGCATTACCTTTTCATGGTGGCCTTGAAGATGGGGTCGTCGGAGGCGTTGCTGAGCATGCTGATGGAACGGTCGGCGATGGAGGACATCTGCGAGGCGAGGTGCTTGCAGAGGTCGGGCGCGGAGCCGTCGAGATGCACCTCTTGCTGCCTCACCAGCTCCTTGATGTGGCACAGCTCGGTCCGTCGACGAGATCGACCCTGGCCGCCATCGCTCGAACCTCTTTTTGCTAGCCGTCGCGCAGGCTAGATTAGGTTCGGATGGCGAAGACTGTGTCGCTGCTGCAGGGAGAAGAGGGAAGTGGTGGGGAGGTGGGCTGTGAGGCGAAAGCCGGAGCGAGCTGCCCCGTTTATTTATAACGGCGACGACGGAAGGAAAACAAGGGGAGCGAGCTCCTAGCTCTATATTTTGACGTTTATTTTCATCTTGAGATCATGTAGTTTTCATTCTGTACGTGCCAGATCATGAATATTAGTAACTGCAGCCAATCTCCGGAAAGTCCCGATTGTTTTGATTTTTGGAATGGGATATTTAAGGTATCCCCATGAATAGAATTAAATCTTATTCCATGCTATTTCCTTAAGATTCATATTTCTTATTCTTAAGCAAGCCCCCGAGAGGGCTTAGTTGATCATGATTTCTGTTTTCTCTTTTTTTTCTATTATATGTAAAAGAGATGACATCAGTTTCACCTAGATGACATAACATGCATGGGAACTGTTTCACCTACTAACTTCATGCATCTGTATTGTACTAAAATATTCTAGGTTAAGTATGATAGTGTTTGCTACACTAGATAGTACAGTGGTACTAAGTTTATCAATGGCTACTATTTGGATGTCATGTTTGTATGCTAGTATGTAATAACAGCCATTCCATAACATGGAATTGAGGATTTTTTTTTGTTTTTTTAATTCATTATCACCACTGTTCGCCTAAACGGCCGTTTAACCCGTTTACACACCGTTTAAACGCTACACGGTGGTACACCGTTTCCATTTAATTGGTTATTTGACCGTTTAAACGGCCGTTTTTCCCGTTTAAACACCCGTTTTGCCTGAATAATGGGCTAAACGGTAGGTGACCGACTATTTACCGTTTAGCGTTTAGGATAAAACTGATTATCACAGATGCGTGTTGGTTATGCACCTCTGTGATAAGGGGTTATCACAGATGCGTGTTGGTTATGCGTATCTGTGATAAGGGGTCATCACAGATGCATTTTGTGTACACACGTCTGTGATACACGTTCTTACATACGCGCAAAAATGCGTCTGTAATGTGAATTTTTACGTAGTGCAGGCTGTACATTCTTGATGTTTTTAATGGACAAACATTGTGGAATATACTCTCCTATTCGAGTGATAGGTTTTATCGATCTTAGGTGAAATTTCTCTAACTTTGACTGCGCCTTTAGTAAAAGAGAGGGGACGATCGGAGAATAGGCCACTTGCAAACGGTGTGGTGTACTTTTGTGCGGATTGTACCACTGCACGGTGGATCATTGGCGTAGTAAGTACGTGCATGATGCCACACGCCCACTGCCAAGTATATATGGCAGCGCTGCAGGTTCTTGGAAACTGCTCGCATATGGAGCAGCAGGTAGGTAATGGTTGGTATGCATCATTTAAGTTACAGGATACACTAGTGCAAATTATTGCTAATAATAAATTATCATAGACTCATCGTAAGTGCTACCTAGAAAGCATTTGCTGTAGGTGTTTTTTTCTTCAAAAGCATTAGCTGAATGTTGTAATCGTTTGCATGCCAATCCATGCTAGAAGGAATTCTCACTTTCCCGACGATTCCTCAAAAGTAGTTCTACCTAAGAGAGGAATTTCAGAATTCTAAATTCAATAAATAATAAAGAGGACAAGAAAAATATTTAAATTTGTTCTGTGGTTTCCCCTTTAGAAACAGCCTACTAGGCTGTTATAGTACTCCCTCCATCCCTGAAAGAATAGATTTCTAGGCTGATAATTTGTCCTAGAATAAATCAACTTCTAGGCGCTCACCATCCATGGGACTCATTTATTTCCATCAAACACCAAAACTCATTGCTCCAGCTTCTCGGTAAGTAGTGAGTACAGTTAAAGTTAGGAACCTTTAATAAGGGGTAATACAGTCTTTTTTCTTGTTTGCTAATATGTCCTAAAGTTGCTAGAAATCTATTCTTTTAGGGACAAAGGGAGTAGGCTGCTCTGAGTTCTGATTTTCCGAATAATACTACCTCCATTCCAAATTATAAGACGTTTTGGCTTTTCTACATATGCACATAGTTTCTACTGTGTACTTAGATATAGTGTACTCCCTCCATCCCAAAATACCTGACCTTATAGGATTCAAATTTTGTCCCAAAATACTTGACGCTCTCACTTTTCAATCCACTTTTTTTTTCTCTCAATACACATTTTTCTTTTCCCACTACATCTCTATCTCTTTCCTTGTTTTCGGTGCACAACACCTTTTCACTTTTTCTTAATTCGCGTGTCTAAACCTAAAACGTCGTCTATTTTAGGACGGAGGGAGTATATCAAGATATATAGCAAAATCAATATATCGAGAAAAGCCAAAACGTCTTAAAATTTCGGTGCTCCCTCCCTGAACAACCAGAAGAAAATATCCATTGACATCATATACGTTGATTATTTGGGGTAGCCTCTGAATATATGATATGATCACCATGACCGATCCGATCAGTGGTGTTGTAATTATTCTAACCTAAGTAGTACTCCCTCCATACCAAAAAAAATATAATTATAGGCTAAGAGATGTCAAACTTTGTTAAATTTAATTCAGTTTATAGAAAATCAGAATAATATTTATATTTCTAAATAGGTTTCTTATAGAAACATATTTTATAATTAATATAATTATACTTATTTAGCATCATAAATATTAGTATTTTACTAAAATTTTAATTAAAGTAAAACGTGTTTTACTCGCCAGGAGCGATGACTTTTTGACGGAGGAAGTAGGTCCGCGCAAGATTGGCTGATTGTGTCGATCGGTACGTAGTGGCGGGCATAGTTTTGACCAGACCTTTTTATCTGCTGGTCGGTTCATGATAAGTTCGTTGGTCATTTGGATTTGGTATGTCACATCGAGAACTCAAAGTATGATGGTGACATATATTCCATGATGATATGATGGCACTTTCTTTTTGAAAAGGCATAATATTATCTTTGCTTTATCACTGCAAAAGTCATTATATATTCATTATTTGTGTGGTACTTAATTAATGGCCATGTTGGGCTTCAGACTAGACTTAGGGCTTTGGTGTGAAGCCTGAACCTTTAGAGTCTATTCTGACGTTCCAGTCGTTGACATATGTATATATTTAAATATTTCATAAAAGACAGATATTCGTTGGCTGGTGACACCCAGTCTTTTCTTTGCAGGATTTATTTAATTATTTTAAATTTAATGAAATTTATAAAAAAAATTGAACATCTATCACGCCAAAAAGATAAATTATGAAAATGCATTTCCTAATATATCTATTGAAGCTAATTTCATATCTTAAGTATTGTTATTATTTTAAATAAGTTTGATCAAATTTCACTACACCACAACGCTGAAATACCGTCTTATGTTTGTCGCTAAAAGTTGACAATTAATGTTGAAGGGTTAGTCGCTAAAGATTTTCCTCGGACCCTCGGTCACTAATACCGAATGCTTCGATGGATGGTCCATCGCTATAAATATTTTGCTTTTTCGTTGAATCATCGGTCGCTATATAGCACTAACTAAGTTGAACGGTCGGTCGCTAAGTACAACTATCCATTGATGCGATGTTTTCAGCCTGTTCCCCCAAAATATAAATATACGCACATATGAGAAAAGATTGCACAAAATCTTGTCATACAAATGCCCCCCACCAAGTTAAGTTTGAATGGCGGAGCGAGTTCAAGCTTGACTTGGTGAAAAAGAAACAATTAGACTAAGATATATGAAACTAGCTGCAGCCTTGGATTTTGATGACTTTTCAATTCATAAACTTTACATGAATATAGGGCACCGTCTGTGCTCCCTTCTATTTGTTTATAAAAACATCATGCTTGAACTGACCATGCACGTATATTTCTGACTGCACGCACATGTGTCACACATGTTTATCAATTAGCTAGCTTATTTAGCTCATGGTACTGGTGCATATATGTGATGCCCCTTCTTTAGCTCAATATCCTAAGGTTTATGACAGGCACTGCTCCTGAACGAGAGAGAACTTGTTGCACTCAGATCACTCCAAGAAGCTAAAGACGTCAGATGTACTGTCGGGGTCGTCGAGGAAACCGTAGTCGTCGGCTTCGTCGAACCTGAAGAACGCGTCGTCGCCGGCGACCTCGAAAGGCGGGAAAGAGGCGACGTGGTTGGAGTCCGAGGTCGCCGAGGACACGCCCCAGTTCTTGGACCTGGACGGCGCGGAGAAGGGGCTGCTCTCCAACACGAGGCACCCGCTCGCCATCGCCGGCGTGGAGGAGAAGCAGAAGGGCGCGGGCGCGTCCCAGCCCTGCAGCTGCTGCTCTGGCTCCACCGTCAGGCTGGAGCTCAGGCTCTGCAGGAGGCTGCTGGCGCCCGGGTTGGCGTTGTACTTGTACACCGGCGCCTGCGCGTCCGTGGCAGCCTGACCCGGTGCCACCGCCGCCCTCTGGCCCTGAACGCAGGTGTGTTCACCTATGTAGACGATGTTAAAGAAGGTCGGGTCCTCATCGGTGCCCTGCACTTGCTTCACCGCCTTACATCCCTGAGAGTTCCAGTGCGTGCAGCGGTAGTAGGCCCTGCAATATTTGTTTAATTTGCGCGGATCAGATCAGGTCAGGCAGGCCCATCGAGTTTCGTCCGGAGCTCCAGAATCTTGTTTGTTAGGGGAAAAGAAGAAGAAGAGACTTTGCTTGTGCATCTAGAACATTTGGGCTATGAATCACTGATTCACTGTTCCCCCATCGGACGAACACTTGCAAACAGCACAAACAAACAGCGGCTGCAACTTTTTCACCAAGATAAGAGTGCAGCCCCTTCATCCAAAGCAGATAAGAAAGCACAAGGAAATGATTTCGATTCCACTTGCTAAGACCACGTGCAGATGAGATTGGGCCGTGGAGTCTGGAAAAGAAAAGAAAACCTTTTGATAGATAGGAATTGTGTAAGTCAAGTGGCAACCTTCTGTGCTTGGCTCCAAGGATCTCCTTCTGGCCGTACTTTCTCCAGTTGTGGCCGTCGCCGGCCAGGAGGTCCGCCTTCCTCACCCTCAGCTCATGCCTCTTCTTGTTCCTGCAAATAAATTAATAGTATAAACCACTTGAGAAACTCAGCTAACAGAGACAAATTAATTAAGATGGTTTATGTTCCTTAATCGGGAAGCTCGATCGACGCCCTTCCTCGATGGGGGCCTGCTTGGTAACTTTGATGGTGGCAACTGGCAAGAACCAAGCATTACCTTTTCATGGTGGCCTTGAAGATGGGGTCGTCGGAGGCGTTGCTGAGCATGCTGATGGAACGGTCGGCGATGGAGGACATCTGCGAGGCGAGGTGCTTGCAGAGGTCGGGCGCGGAGCCGTCGAGATGCACCTCTTGCTGCCTCACCAGCTCCTTGATGTGGCACAGCTCGGTCACCACCTGCGGGATGCATCCATTGCCGTCGACGAGGTCGACCCTGGCCGCCATCGATCGAACCTCTTTTTGCTAGCCGTCGCGCAGGCTAGATTAGGTTCGGATGGCGAAGACTGTGTCGCTGCTGCAGGGAGAAGAGGGAAGTGGTGGGGAGGTGGGCTGTGAGGCGAAAGCCGGAGCGAGCTGCCCCGTTTATTTATAACGGCGACGACGGAAGGAAAACAAGGGGAGCGAGCTCCTAGCTCTATATTTTGACGTTTATTTTCATCTTGAGATCATGTAGTTTTCATTCTGTACGTGCCAGATCATGAATATTAGTAACTGCAGCCAATCTCCGGAAAGTCCCGATTGTTTTGATTTTTGGAATGGGATATTTAAGGTATCCCCATGAATAGAATTAAATCTTATTCCATGCTATTTCCTTAAGATTCATATTTCTTATTCTTAAGCAAGCCCCCGAGAGGGCTTAGTTGATCATGATTTCTGTTTTCTCTTTTTTTTCTATTATATGTAAAAGAGATGACATCAGTTTCACCTAGATGACATAACATGCATGGGAACTGTTTCACCTACTAACTTCATGCATCTGTATTGTACTAAAATATTCTAGGTTAAGTATGATAGTGTTTGCTACAATAGATAGTACAGTGGTACTAAGTTTATCAATGGCTACTATTTGGATGTCATGTTTGTATGCTAGTATGTAATAACAGCCATTCCATAGCATGGAATTGAGGATTTTTTTTTGTTTTTTTAATTCATTATCACCACTGTTCGCCTAAACGGCCGTTTAGCCCGTTTACACACCGTTTAAACGCTACACGGTGGTACACCGTTTCCGTTTAATTGGTTATTTGACCGTTTAAACGGCCGTTTTTCCCGTTTAAACACCCGTTTTGCCTGAATAATGGGCTAAACGGTAGGTGACCGACTATTTACCGTTTAGCGTTTAGGATAAAACTGATTATCACAGATGCGTGTTGGTTATGCACCTCTGTGATAAGGGGTTATCACAGATGCGTGTTGGTTATGCGTATCTGTGATAAGGGGTCGTCACAGATGCATTTTGTGTACACACGTCTGTGATACACGTTCTTACATACGCGCAAAAATGCGTCTGTAATGTGAATTTTTACGTAGTGCAGGCTGTACATTCTTGATGTTTTAATGGACAAACATTGTGGAATATACTCTCCTATTCGAGTGATAGGTTTTATCGATCTTAGGTGAAATTTCTCTAACTTTGACTGCGCCTTTAGTAAAAGGGAGGGGACGATCGGAGAATAGGCCACTTGCAAACGGTGTGGTGTACTTTTGTGCGGATTGTACCACTGCACGGTGGATCATTGGCGTAGTAAGTACGTGCATGATGCCACACGCCCACTGCCAAGTATATATGGCAGCGCTGCAGGTTCTTGGAAACTGCTCGCATATGGAGCAGCAGGTAGGTAATGGTTGGTATGCATCATTTAAGTTACAGGATACACTAGTGCAAATTATTGCTAATAATAAATTATCATAGACTCATCGTAAGTGCTACCTAGAAAGCATTTGCTGTAGGTTTTTTTTTCTTCAAAAGCATTAGCTGAATGTTGTAATCGTTTGCATGCCAATCCATGCTAGAAGGAATTCTCACTTTCCCGATGATTCCTCAAAAGTAGTACTACCTAAGAGAGGAATTTCAGAATTCTAAATTCAATAAATAATAAAGAGGACAAGAAAAATATTTAAATTTGTTCTGTGGTTTCCCCTTTAGAAACAGCCTATTAGGCTGTTATAGTACTCCCTCCATCCCTGAAAGAATAGATTTCTAGGCTGATAATTTGTCCTAGAATAAATCAACTTCTAGGCGCTCACCATCCGTGGGACTCATTTATTTCCATCAAACACCAAAACTCATTGCTCCAGCTTCTCGGTAAGTAGTGAGTACAGTTAAAGTTAGGAACCTTTAATAGGGGGTAATACAGTCTTTTTTCTTGTTTGCTAATATGTCCTAAAGTTGCTAGAAATCTATTCTTTTAGGGACAAAGGGAGTAGGCTGCTCTGAGTTCTGATTTTCCGAATAATACTACCTCCATTCCAAATTATAAGACGTTTTGGCTTTTTTAGATATGCACATAGTTTCTACTATGTACTTAGATATAGTGTACTCCCTCCATCCCAAAATACTTGACCTTATAGGATTCAAATTTTGTCCCAAAATACTTGACGCTCTCACTTTTCAATCCACTTTTTTTTTCTCTCAATAGACATTTTTCTTTTCCCACTACATCTCTATCTCTTTCCTTGTTTTCGGTGCACAACACCTTTTCACTTTTTCTTAATTCGCGTGTCTAAACCTAAAATGTCGTCTATTTTAGGACGAAGGGAGTATATCAAGATATATAGCAAAATCAATATATTGAGAAAAGCCAAAACGTCTTATAATTTTGGTGCTCCCTCCCTGAACAACCAGAAGAAAATATCCATTGACATCATATACGTTGATTATTTGGGGTAGCCTCTGAATATATGATATGATCACCATGACCGATCCGATCAGTGGTGTTCTAATTATTCTAACCTAAGTAGTACTCCCTCCATACCAAAAAAAAAATAATTATAGGTCTAAGAGATGTCAAACTTTCTTAAATTTAATTCAGTTTATAGAAAATCAGAATAATATTTATATTTCTAAATAGGTTTCTTATAGAAACATATTTTATAATTAACATAATTATACTTATTTAGAAGGGCGGGCCTGGTGTAAGTGGTAGAGTCTTACCGTCTGTGACCGGAAAGTCCCGGGTTCGAGTTGCGGCCTCCTCGCGTTGCACAGGCGAGGGTAAGACTTGCCACTGACACCCTTCTCCTGACCCCGCACAGAGTGGGAGCTCTCTGCACTGGGTACGTCCTTTTTTTTATACTTATTTAGCATCATAAATATTAGTATTTTACTAAAATTTTAATTAAAGTAAAACGTGTTTTACTCGCCAGGAGCGATGACTTTTTGACGGAGGAAGTAGGCCCGCGCAAGATTGGCTGATTGTGTCGATCGGTACGTAGTGGCGGGCATACTTTTGACCAGACCTTTTTATCTGCTGGTCGGTTCATGATAAGTTCGTTGGTCATTTGGGTTTGGTATGTCACATCGAGAACTCAAACTATGATGGTGACATATATTCCATGATGATATGATGGCACTTTCTTTTTGAAAAGGCATAATATTATCTTTGCTTTATCACTGCAAAAGTCATTACACTGGTAGAGAACAGAGCTTTACTCCTGGTGAGGAACCCCCTCTAGTCCCGGTTCACCACCCGGGAGCAAGCATCCGGGACTAAAGGGGGTCCTTTAGTCCCAGGTCAGCTAAAGGAGGACCTTTAGTCCCGGTTCGTATTACCAATCGGGACTAAAGGTGCCTCCTGACATGCCACGATGGCCGGCACCTTTAGTCCCGGTTGGTAATACGAACCGGGACTAAAGGTTTTTTTCCTTTTTTTCTTTTCTTTTCATTTTTTGTTTTCTTTTCAAAATAGGTTTTCGAAGTCGTATTGTACGCTGCTAATTATACATTTATACGCGCGTATAGTATGTTTCGGTTCAAGCACAATGAATGTATTAAATCACACAATTCAAGCATAGAAAAAAATATATATATATATACATGCATGCATGCATATGTGTATTTTACATTATATTATTTCATGTGCATATATTACAAAAAGATTGCATTACAGTTGTTGTGATATAACAAGTTTCCTCTCATCCTCTAGCTTGGCTTCCATGGCAGTGTTGGGTCGAAGTACAACTCGCCCTTGGAATCGATGACCTGCTCATTAAAAAATCCGGCTATAGACTCCTGAATTGCTTTGATTTGGTCTTGCCGTATGACTTTTTCCTCCAACCATCGAGTCTATAGGTTTGAATTAAAGGAAAATAAATTAATATATGTACATATATATATATAAAGACATAGTAACACAATCAATAATAATAATTAAATGAATATATAGTGTATTTTTAACGTACTTTTAGTCTCTCTGTAGGAGTTCTTTGGGAGACCACCTTGATAAACTTGCAAACATAGTAACCACAGTAGTTGTTCCCCTGTTCCTGCCTCAGACACCACTTTACGAGAAAAAGATTTGTCATCCAATCTGGTGATCCGGTGAAAGCTATATGTCTAATTAATAAAGATGATGCGATTTAGGGGACTTACTTTCAAAGGGATTACATTCAATGGCGCTTTGTATTTTCCCATGTGTTGCTTCTCAATAAAGGTTTTCCAAACACTGCCCAATAAAAAATTTGCCATGTCATCAGATATAGTTAATCATCATGTTTGTGTGTATATATAGTTGCTAGAGATACCGAAATTACCTCTGGATAATATCTATCATATCTTGGTAGTCTTATTGTGGTTTTTTCATCGAGTCATAGATTATCAAGTGACTTTTCACCAGATCGATGTCCATCAATAACCAGTGATTGCTGCATGTGTTTATAGGATATAACGCATAACACTCATTAATTAACTAGAATCAACATATGAGCCATTAAGGATGATCGACATTATTAACACTCACTTGAAGTTGTAGGGAAAGAGTATATCCTTCTTGTGGCGTTGGTTCACTAAGAAGTTCATGAGGTTACTCTCTGACTCAGACTTCCAATTAGTCTTTGGAGTAACTGGGTCTTTGAATACTATATGGGGATCAACAAAACCAATTTCATTGCAGCCTTCCTTTATGAGCTCTGTCATTGTAAATCTGCATATATATAGTACTTGTTAGGATAATTTATATGCATATACACACATATGATGAGTTTAATAATAGATCAAAAGAATTATTACTTACAGGCAATAGCAGCTAATGAGAACTTTGTCCAGAGAGGTCAGGTGGCATAGTTGATGAAATTCTGCAAAGTCAACATACATAACATCATCGCCACGGAACCAATGTTCATCTCTAATTCTAACACCAACGCAGAAGTCTCCACCGGTAGACGCCTGCATGTACCACTTGTTTAGCAGGTACATTTGCGTCCCCAGATCAGATAAGGCTTGAGGG